TTTTCAATCCTAATCATGGGACTACTCTGTGCTGGATGGTTTCAAACTTCCTGAGTGTTGTACAAGTCTCATGAATCAAAGTGAGTGGCCAGTATTCCATAACACTGCTGACTTGATGCTTGTAGATTATGCATGGGCTTCGGGGAGTCATTAGGTGAATTAGCATAGAATTCCCAGCATCACATAAAAGAAGATATCTCAGAACTGTATAAAGATGGGGAGCAGGGGGAAATTCATAGTAGAACAGTACCGACACATCTGATTAGTCTTTGCTGTATTTATGTTCTAATGTTTTAATTTTTCTGCACTTCAGGAAAGATTTTTACTTTGTAGACCACAACTTATGCAGATTGAGTTTCTGTGATTAAGTCTGTATATGTTTCCTTTCAATTTAATAAAAAAACTGAAATAAAATATTGTAGTAAGTAATGACATTGTCACACAGATGGAATCATTGCAATCCTTTCCACACATGCATCAGTAAGGGCTTTAGCAGGTACCGATTGTTGGCCTGATCTCCTGGCATAATCAACAAGGAGTTGATGGAACTTCTGAAGAAATATCACAACTGCAACACATTTCAAACAAGTGAAAATTTGTCACTGACATCATTTCTATTAGCAACTATTTATGTTCAGTCAGAGTATCATTTGCAGTGGTGAGTTACCTATAAGTTATTGCATTAATGGCCTAAAGTATGTTGACAATTCCGTACCTTCATGTAATTAATGATCTTAGAGCTGTATTGTCAAGGAGGATGTGGATCTGAGAACAACTTCAGTCACACTATCTTACAATGCCCAAAGTTTGACTCATTATAGTTGCTGATTCAAGGGATTCAATGACAAAGTCTAGGACCAGATTGTTTTCTTTCCATCTTGTATGGAGAATGGTATGTGGTGCAAGGGAAGGTTAAGGGGTGAACAACAACATGAATATAAAATTGTAGGAGCAATAAATAAACCAAAAGTATATATGCTGCTGAGACTACCTTTTCCAACTGAATTTTACTTATTAAAAACAATGGACTTTTGCTACAAGGTTGAGATAGACTACTTGTACAAAAGCGCAAGCATTATGAACTCTAACCATCTTTGTACTCAAAACAAGGTGTATGTGGTGTAGTAAAATAAATTGACCCGATGACCTCAAGTGTTCTGTAGAGATTTAAACACAATCACTATTTTCTAGTAAAATTATTTTTAATTTACAACAAATTTGAATATCCAAGTCCACATCACTGGAAATAAGAAGTTTCACTAATGTGGAATAGAGTTTCTTATATTACATATAAAAATCTATAATTTCCTCCTTGTGCAAGTATAATAAGTAATAATATGCACATGTAAGACAGATGAACATAATACTTTAACTGCCAATGACATTAGTATACATTCTAACAAAATCAGGCACTTTATGGCTTATAATAGTGACACAGGTGACTATTGTGGGCTGTCAATGGCAGGATATTGTCACAAATCAGAATTGATAACAACAGTTTCTAAACAAATATCCGTAAGGGTTTTGAACTTTCTCTTCAAAATTTTGATATGGTATCAAATTAGAATTTACTTATGCTGCAACGGATTGAAAGGTACATAATTCCCCTAGCCATGGAATTTGCAGATTGCATCCTAAGTAACTAAGAGGAGCAGAAGTAGACTTTATGGCTCTCAAGCTTGCTATCTATAACTAATCTTCTGACCACTTCAACTCCACTTTTCTGCTGGCTCCTCATATCCTTCAGTTTTCTAAGAAATGAAAAATATATCTATTCCAGCTATGAATATGAAATATAACATAACCATGAAATGCTGGGGCAACCCTAACTCTCTGGTGTATAGAATTCCACAGTCACAGCAAACATATTAAAGAATTTCTCCAGTCTCAGTTTTAAATGATCAAACCTTATTTTGACACAGTGCCCCCATGTTCTGGGTCCCACGACTGGGAAAACTCCTCCGTGTTTACTCTGTCAAGCCCCTTCAAATTCTTATGTTTCATTGAAATCATTTCTTACTCTTCAAAATTCCAGTGAGTATTGACCTACTTTACTCAGCCTCTCACAGTTCTCACTTTCTAGGAATCAATCCAGTGAACCATCATCCAGCTTTGTCTCCAACCAAGTTATATTTTTCCACAGATATGGAGACTAGAATCACACATAGATCTCCAGAAGCGCCCAAAGCCCTTTTCAGTTGTATTAAAATTTCCTTGTACTTGTACCTTAGTTCGTTTGCCACAAAGACCAACTTGGCATTTACCTTCCCAAATGCTTGCTGTACACATGTGTTAACATATTGCATTTCTTGGATGAGTACAGTATTTGAACAACATTTGCAAGTCATTTTTTAATTTATTCATGAGTTGTGGGTGTCACTGACAGGAGCAGCATTTTTCGACCAGCTCCAGTTGCCATTAGGAAGTTTTATGACCTTTTAGAAAAAAAAATCTTATGACCTAGGTAAAGAACCTAACTCTTTATATTCTATCTTGTATCTTATTGTTCATTCATTCAATCTGTCCAGATCTCTTTGCAGCCTCTTTGCATTGTCCCCATAACTTACGTTCCCTGTTGGCTTTGTATTGTCAGAAATCTTGGCCACCTTGCTCTGTTTCTTCATTTAAGACATTAAAATGGATCACTTCCTGAGTATCATGGATGTTGTAACTGAACCAGTGAGGCAGGCAGTGCCATATGATCAATAATGTTTGCAAATGATATTGAACGATCTGGTAGAGATGAAGAATATATGGTTGAGTATTTGGAGAAAACTGGAAGACAAGGATAAGAGCAACAAATCAAAAACCCAATTTATAGCCTGTCAGTTTGAGCCTAGGGATAAGGTTCAGAGTGAAGGTGAAAAGGAGATGGAAGATTTGAAGAATGGGCACTTTCAAATACTGGGCAGAGTCACTAGTGGCAGAAGATGGAAGCCGTAAAATGTAAAGTAGGCAATAGATTACCTCTGGTGGTAGTAATTGAAGAATTGCAGTGGAGTGTCATTTGATAGAGAAAGTGTTCCTAATACCTGAAGGGGAGAATCTATAAGATAATTATGATAGCAGCCTGATGTATAGTGCAGAAGTGTGGCTACCATCAAGAGTGGAGGAACTCTAACTTGATACAAGTGAGTTACAGAAGCTGAAATAGATGTCCAGAGCAATGGGTAATGGTAAAATCAGGAACTAGCATGCCAAGGGTCTGAGACGATTGAAGATAATAGTCAAAAAGAGTGAAACGATGAGGTAATTTGACATGGAAACAAAAACGTGGTGGCATGAATGGTGATGGCAAAATTTCAAAGAAGGAGAAAGAGCCTCCGATCAGATGGAAAAGGTGCAGTGATGAGGGAGTAAGCCTGCAGAAGACAATGGCCTACTGGTATCATTGCTGCGTTGTTAACCCAAAGACCCAGGTAATGACCTGGGGACCTGGGTTGGAATCTCGCTGTGGTACATGGTGGAATTTGAATTCAATCTGGATCTAAGAGTCTAATGATTACCATGAATTCATTGTTGATTATTGGAAAAAGACCATCTGATTTGCTAATGTCCTTTAGGGAAGGAAACTGTTATCCTTACCTGGTCTGGCCTACATGTGACTCCAGGCCCACAGCAATGTGATTGACTCTTATCTGCCTCTGGGCAATTAGGGATGGGTAATAAATGTTGGCCTAGCCAGCAACACACTCGTCCCATGAATGAATAAATAAAAAATAATGAGTTTGGAAGAGGAATGGGTGATTGACATGAGATGAAGAAGAGGCCACTAAAATAAAATGAGAGAAATTGAAAGAAGAAAAAGTAGTAACATGAATTGGTGTCTTTGATGAGAGCTATTGGGAAGAAAAATAAGAGCACTAGTGAGATACAGGCACAAAGCAATCAAGGATGACAAATGCACAAAACATTTTAAAAAATGCATGTTAACAAAGCACTTGGTTTTGGAATTGAATGGTAGTAAAGTTATGTTAGAAGTTACATAGTGTTTTGTTCTAGGACTGTGCACAGATCTTGTCTTGAGAATTGATTACAGTGAAGTTTGCCTTTTACCTTGGAAAACCATAGTTAGGAGACATATGGAAATGTTCAAACATGCAATTCAACAGTAGTCAATAGATAGTTACATCAATAATTAGTATTTATAAATTTAGATATCAGTAATTGTGGTGGCACGGTGAGCATTTTTAAGATTATATCAAACTACTATCGTTAGAAATGAGAGAATTAACTGCACAATTTCACTTTAGTAATGTCTACAGATCATATTTAATCACCTGCAAAAACAAGAAAAATGGACTAATCTACTCTATACCAGTGACTCTTGACTCCCTCTCCCTTGACAGAAATTTACTGCGACTACTGCAGTCCTATCTTGCCCTCTTTCAATGACTCCATGGTGAATTGCTGATCTAATTTGTGGAAGTATTTTCAATACAGAGTTCAAAGGTTCAAGATACAGCTTCTATTATCTTCAGGGACAATGTTTATTGACAATGATTTCCATGCTGGTCAGTGATACCCAAATCATATGAAGTGATTTTTCAATCCCATCACATACTTCCAATTTCTTCCCACTTCTGTGAGTAAAGGTACTTTATCTAGGGAGAACAGTAACTAATATCCACCATCTTAATTGACAATTTTGCCATAATTGTTCCATACAGAAATGTATGTATTCCTTGTTATGCCATTTTATTTCATTGTGAAGAACCTTTTGATATTACAGGAATACTAAAAAAAAGGGCATGAAATTATTTCGTGTGCTAGAAGCCAAAATGGAATTTTGCAAAAGTCTTTCTTTAAATATTATGTACCAATACTCTCACCTCTATACTACATTGCAGCAGTGAGGCCACTTTTCAAAGCTCACTTCTAACTGCATGTGAATGCAGCAATGAGGATCGACGCTTACACCAAGTAACAGAATGCGACAATTGTGTATTAAAAGTTTAGATCCATGAATGCTGTGTACAATTATAATGCAAGGGGTAAAAGCATCCATGTGGCTCTAAAATGATACCTGAAGTATTATTGTAAAATCAGCTACTCTAACTCTAGATTAAGTATATGAACTTTGCCATTAGTATACTCAAAAAAATGACACGATGTGTAACTGACTATTTATTTTAAGGATACACCAAATAAATATCTATTCCAACTACATAGTTAATTCTATTATGCTGAATCATTTCTCACTTATTCCTATTGTTTGGTGCTCCTGAGTCGGCCACATCACTTGAATGCTAACTTTTGTTCCAAACATTAAATGCGCCTGTTTTTTTTTATTGATCAACACAATAAATATAAGCAAATCACTCTTGCATTTCAATTTGCCTTTGACATCTAGTTAAAATCTAAACCATCCATGAACCCTTAATTTTTCTAAATTTGAATCCAAATCTTTAAGAATCGTGGAAGTCTTCATCCTAATACCAGATTTCAATTTATCCATGTCCTTAAGAATCTTGCATACATGTGTAGAGACTTCTCTCCTCAAGACAAAACTGTCTCAGATTTTTCACCTATTTCTCAAAGCTCATATAACTTAAGTCAGGCATTAGTTTGATTGTCTTTGTCTTCACTGCCTCCAATGTTTGGATATCTTTCTTGTGGTACTGTTGTGGAAAAAAAAACAGTTGACAATATTCCAGGTTTGGTCATGACACGTGTATACATGCCTGATCATCATCTTTTGGGATTTATGCTTTATTCTTCACCAAATGTCCCAGGATCTAATTGTATCTCCTCATTTTCAGTTGCACAGTTGTGTTGCTGATTTCTGTCAATTATTCATCAATACCTCCTTCTAAATCCTTCTAGACTACAGGATGAAGCAGAGGAGAAAGAAATGTTCGAATACATTCCCACTATTGATTGGTCTTCACTAGTTTCAGAACTTTGTACTTATTAACTAATTTGCCACTTATCAGTCTACCCTCCCAGGCTTGTGTATTTAGTCAGGCTCTTTCTCCAATTTGATACCCCCTCACAATCAATCAAATATCACTTGCAAACTTCCCGTCAAATCCCTGACATATTGTAAGCAGGAGAAACCTCAACGATGAGTCACCTTTGACACCACTATTGATGCCTTGCCCCGCAGACACTGTTCTACTTGTTTAACCAACTTACAGATTCACCACAAAAGTATCCTAATGTTTGCTGTAAGGCTATTAAAATTAGTAACATTAAATTAATGGATGTACCTTTGTAATTTAATTATCTTAATATACTTGTAATTACAGGACAGAAAATTCTTCGTAACAATAATTACCATTTGACAGGGTTCTTTTACAGCTTTGCGTTATTATTCCATATTTCAGTACGTCACAGACCCTACACTTCACCGTTGGAGCTTTATTTGAAAATGAGCAAGTATCGCAAATCCATATCTTTGAAGTGGGAGAGCTTTCCTCTTCACTGCTATCAGGTTCTTTGGGCGTACAGGTTTTAGAAATGTTGATCAGCCTTTCATCAAACTGGGTATAAAATAATGTTTTTGGGCTTGTTATTGAGTTAGACCTCATCCAGGTTGCAAAGTGCTTCTGTTTATTCTTGGTCTGGATTGCTCTAAATGGTGAAATGGTGAATCTGTTCTTCTGATTTACACAGTTGTTGCTGGAATTCTGGAAGCTTGCAGGTGATCTCGGTGCTAGAAGGAACAAGAGAAGCATTTGACAACATTCTCTTTGCAAAGCTAGAAATAATGCTTAATCATAGATGCTAGTATGTTTTGACATGGCGAGAAATAAATACCTTCCCCACAACCCCCAACAATACCAGTCAAAGTCTGTGAGACCAAAACGTTATTGGCCCAATGGAACACTGCACGTCCATGGCCTAGGAGATGGTTTCTGGCAAAACAGATGGGAGAAGGAGATCAAAATCTCTGTAGATGGGAATGAGAGGCTTGGTCAGTGACTGGGATATGGAGGGGAACATAATTAGCAGGATCAGCTAAGTTGGAAGAGGTTTGGGAAAGCAGAAGAGACACTAATTGTCACCAGGGAAGGAGTGGTCATAGTTAGTGGCGAGATTAGAGCCTCCCTTGACAAACCAATAGTGGCATTTCTGCTGCTTTTGCCCCACAAGGAGTGCCAGACACCATTTACCTACTATAGTCACAGCTCCTACCTCCTTTTCCAATGTTGAGTTTCCTTGCTTTTCTTTCTATGTCCAGTAAAGCTCTTAAACAAAATTGAATTTTTTTGTTCCCATCACCAAATTGCAAGTGGTTCTCCACCACCCACATCACCACCCCTCCCGCACAGTCAGTCAATTAACCACAGTAGATTACTGTTTCCAACTGAATAATTTACGTGTAAAACCGGATAAGAGAAATGCAAACCATCAAAAGTTGAGGGAGAAGGGGAGGGGGCTGAGTCAAAATGGAGTTGGAAGGGGAACACAGAGTTTCTTGACCACTGGGAAACCCACACAGCACTGAATATTAAATCAGGCTACCAAATAATTTGGCAACCCAATTCAGTTCTGTTAATTACATATCCTGCTTCTCCATGGTGGAGTACTAGGATATCTGCAATTGTAAAAATCAGGAACAAAAACAAAGTTGCTGGAAAAGCTCCGCAGGTCTGGCAGCATCTGTGAAGGAGAAAACAGAGTTAACGTTTCGGGTCTAATGACCCTTCCTCAGAACTGTAAAAATCAGGCGTTGCTTGAATACATGACTTCTTGGGGAAGTTTCCCATATTAAACCTTTAATGCTCTCCCCCACACAGACACCTTGTTTATAATTTGAGAGTAACTTGATTTGAAAACAAAAACAGCCACAGGATATGTGGCATTATTTAGTCCATAATATTAACCACTCATTGTTGTTAAAAATATTTTCAGCTAAGCATTTTAAACTTGAAAAATAATCACAATAAAAGAAAGCCCTGAATATCGCAAACATTTTTTTGACATGTGGCCAAATGAGTAAATCCCTCAGAAAATATAAAGGAATAAAAAGAATGGTCTGATAGACTACATAGGTTCTAGCTCGACCCATACACTGGATCAAACTCAATATTTTCGTATGCTCCTTCTCTCTTTCACAAGTAACTGATAACAAGATGTTCCAGGAAACATCTTTTAAAAGATAATTTCATTAGTAGAGTTGCAGACCGATTTATAATGTTACTAATCCATGGTGTGGTTGTCCAAGACAGTTAGGACCTGAAAGGTTTAACTGACATCACAAGGTATGCTCGACCTATCAGGGTGTAAAAGACTGTTTCTGGGTGGGGGCTAAGGGATTTTTTTTTCTTCAGGGACCCTACAGGTAATTCAATGATTAGCTATATGTTACTAACCCCAAGAATAAATCAATGTGTACTTTTATGCCTGATGTTTCATGGAAGATTATATATTGTAGATAACTTGCAACTAGTTATTAAATAATATGTAATAAACTGATTTACTGTTCATCAGGATTGAGCCTAAGACTTTGTATAGGTACTCTTCTCCACATGATGTCAGTAGCGTAGACTAATTATAATAAGAAAGATTGGTGGTGTCTAATCTGTCCATGAAATCCCAAATGGGAGCAATACCTTTATAAAGAAATCTATTGTACCTTATAAGGTGTGACTAGTGCTGTTGGCTCACCCCAACTTTCAAAAATAAAAGTTACAATGATACACTGGGACTGCGTTAAAGACATTAATCCACAATAACTTGTGTGAGGATGCCAAATGGATATTCCAGATTGGTATGTCTTCACATGTATTTTTAGTTTTAGTTTAAGTTTAAGGAATGATATGCAGTGAATAACCACTCTGGACTTTTCACACACAGTGATTTGGTAGACTTTACCTTCTTGGTGAGATGTCGGAGCAGCTGCAGGGTCCTCAGTTTGGTGATCACTGCCAGTATTTTTCTGTTTGAGGAGGAAAGAAAGAAAACTAAGTGATAGACTAGCCTTCTGTCAGTTCAGGTTACTTTAGCTGTCAAAATCCATCTTTAGCACGTTGTGGAAACTCCCAATTATGCTCCTCCCATCTGACCAATACTTTGTGTCAGAGCATTTATCTCATTTGATCATTTCCCTCAATGTGAATGCTTAGCTTAAATTTCAGTAAAATTGGAAATTTCAGTGCTATTCCTTAAAATTATGGCAGAATTGTTGATAAAACAAATACATTAATTTTTTTCAAGCAAAGTAACAATTTTATTCTGCTGCTTTCTATAAAAGGAATTACTTATCCATTTATTCAGCACTCTTCAGGCAGATATGCCAAGTGGGTGATCATGTTAGTGTCCTCCTGAAGTCCCCAGCATTACAAAGCCAGTCTTCAGCCAATTTGATTAATTCCACAAGATATCAAAAACAGCTGAAGGCCATGAATATTTCAAAGATTGTAGATACTGACGAAATATTATTGAATGTTTGTGGTCATATTGTTCCTAGTCAAGCTGTTCTGATATGGTTACAACAGGGATCCACCAAACAATTTGGACAATTGTCCAGGTATGTACTATTCACAAAAGAAAAGACAAATTCAATTCAGCAAATTATCACCCTATCAGTCTACTCTCGATCAGAGTTACGGAAGTGGTTGACAGTGCTATGAAACAAATGTTACACAGCAATAATCTACTGACCTGTGATTAGCTTGGATTCTGCCAAGGCTGCTCAGCTCCTGACCTCAGCACAGCGTTGGTCCAAACAGCAAAAGTGCTGGACCCCAGAGGCCAGGTGAGGTAGACTGCCCGCAACATCAAGGCAGCATTTTACAGACAAGGGCACAAAGGAGAAATTGAAGTTGATGGGACATGGGGAAAGCTCTCTGTTCATTGGAGTTAAATCTGCCACAAAAGGAAGTTGGTCATGGTTATAGAAGGTCAATTTTCTCACTCCAAGGACATAGTTGCAGCAGTTCCTCGGGAGAAGTATTTTTAATCAACCTGTTCAGACATGTTGTAACGCATTTCTGCATCAGGTGGGACTTGAATTCAAGCCTTTAGTTCAGGTGCAGTGTAATGACTACTACACTACAAGAGCCCTCAAGTTCCTCAGAGTAGATTTCTTGGCCCAACGATCTTCAGCTGCTTCAATTACTTTCCCCACTTATGATGGCGAAAGGTTCACCGATGACTGCATAATCTTAGTATCATTTGCAACTCCTGAGACACTGAAGCATGAAGATCTAGACAGTGGTTTGGTCTGACAATTGCAAAAAGTATTTATACTGTAATAGTGACAGACACTGACTCTCTCCAACAGGAGAAAATCTGACCATCTCCCGTTGACACACAACAGTATTATTTTCCCAGAATCCTCTCAGTATCAGTAACTTGGGGGTTTCAGTTGAACAGAAACTGAATTGGACCTGCTATATAAATACTGTGGATCCAACAGCAGGTCAGAGTGAGAATTCTGAAGTGACTAATTGACCTCCTGACTCCCTAAAAATCTGTCTATCATCTGTAAGACAAATCAGGAGTATGATGGAATATTCTCCATATGCCTGTATGACTGCACCTTCAACCACTCCAGGAATGTGACATCATCAAGAACAAAGCAGTCCACTTGATCAGCATCATACCCAACATTATGGGAGGTTGTGGTGTAATGTTAGCATTTGGAATAATAATCCAGAATCCCAGACTACTGTTTTGCAGGGGGACATAGGTTCAAATCCCATGGCAGTTAGTGAAATTTGAATTCAGTGAAAATTTGGAATTTAGGAAGCCTGCTTAAATGCAATCACCATCAATTGTTGTAACATCCCATCTAGTTCATTCATGTTTTAAGACCATTCGGAATGGGCAAGAAATCCTAGCCAACAACCGGACATCCTATGAACAAATACATAAGAAAATTATGTATTGTGACCACTGACAAGGTGTGTGCTATCTACAAGATGCACTGCAGCACCTCACCGACTCTCTTTCATAGGCACTTTCCAAAACCATGACCTGTCCTCACTTAGGACAATATGTGGGAGCTTTACCAACTGCACAGTCCCTCAAAGACAGGCTCCCTATTGAAACCAAAATCATTACTTTCACTGAAACAAAATCCAGTGAAACACCCCAACAGTAATATGAATGCACCTGCACCAGCTGCAATACTACAGAAGAGCCAGTAAGGTGAACAAATGCTGGCCATACTCCACATTTCATTAAAAAGGTTTATTTCTTACTTCTTTAAGTAGTATTATTTGTTTTAATGAACATCCTGTTTTCATACTTAAAAGGAACAGCAGATTTTCATTGAAACATTTCCTATAGAATAAATCTTTCAGTTACTACTTAATACTGGTAGAAACAATAAACCGAGACCAAAATTCCTCTGTTAACATTTTCATGCTATGGATGATAATCTTAATGAAAAATTGCCTTTATTCTCCTACCCAGTGGGCATCCTCAATTCAGCCAGAGATTTCTCCCAACTGCACCAATTTGGCATTTTCAAGTTTAACATCACATGGATTTATTGAGATTTTTGTGTTAAGAAAGCTCAAGTTTGGAACATTGCAGCAAAGGCATCTCTAGTTGTCCTCGAGAAGGTAATGGTGATCCTTCTCTCAGAATTAGTGTCATGCACGTGTTAAAGTCACTCCCTCAATTCTAGCAATAGGTAGGAAATTCTATGCTTAATGACTCGTCATCGATGGTGAGATGAATTGAAATCGTGGATGTGTTTGTGCCCATGCACCAGCTATCTTTTTTCATTCTAATGTGCATGTTCTGGGTTTGGAAAGTGTCAACAAAAGTGGCTTGGTGCCTTGGTACAATGCATTTGTGGTTATTAGACATTGCAAACATGGTCAGCTAATGAAGGGAGTGGATGATAAGGTAGTTGCAAAATACAGCAATCAGTTTACTATTTAGTCTTTGATGATGCTACACTCGAGTGTTGCAAGTGCACCTATCTAGGAAAAAGAAGGATATTCAATTCAGGAGTGTAATTGCACTTTTAAGTAGTGGAGGGGTTTTGGAGAGTCATGGACATTAGTTTTACCCACAGTACAACTCAGCCTTTGATCTGTACTGGTATCTACTCTATTTAAATAGCTGGCCCAGGGAATTTTTTTTTCCAGTTCCTGCCATTTAAATTCCTTTCACTTTAGCTGCAAGATTCTGGATTTAAAATCAGAGCAATTGTATTTTGTCCTATTTTAGTTTTATTGTCTATTTGCAACTTGATAATGCATTATCGGCTGACGAGGATCACACACCCATGAGAGTTAACCATCACTTTTTGGCTTGCTTACCTTACAGAGCATACCTGCATATAATATAGGACTTCAGCATCTTCTATACCCCATGCTGAAAAGTGACCAGCACTCATTCGATGTCGTACAGGTGTTGCCTTAATAGTGTACTTACAGCCTTCACTGGGAGAGCAAGGAGGGAATAGTTTGGGAGAAAGACTCCTTTTTCTGTAAATTGATTTCAGGAACAAAATTACTGTGGTCATAGTGCATCATGAGATTTCAAGCTTTCAGAAATGCATCCATTTGCAGAGGTCTGCAATCTGTATGTGTATAAAAATTCAACAATAATGACTATCAAGAAATTTTATAGTTAACATTTCACCTCATAACATGAAATACAAAATATTTGTGTGGTATTCTAATACAGGAATAAATGCCTGAACATACGATTAGACCCAGCACATTTAGCACTGAAATCTAAGTTTCAAAGTGATGTTAAACAGAATTAAAACAATTGCTTCAGTAGTTGATGCAATGTCAATCAGTATCTGCACAGATGAGTAGAGAATAGACTTAATACATCATGGAGAAATGAAAATACAAGTATGGACCAAGTAGTTGACTCAAAAGGCTGCAATTTTATTGCTGCATGTGGACACCTAGTTCCAATTCCTGGGTGTGCCACCATCTACTTCGTGGATTATCTCAGAGTGCTGCAGGATATTAGATTGGCATACACATAGGATCATCCCATGTGTGTCCTGGAATACCTTGAATAAATGTTATCCAATGTTCAAGCAGAATAAGTTTACATGACATATTTTATAATTGAGACAATGGTAAGCTATCCCTCCTCATCCTATCAGCAGCCTTTCATACAGGTAACTCGATTGTTTTGCTTCAATGCTGCTCCACTGTCACTCAGCCAGGTGGGACTGCATGGAGGGCAAGTTCCACATAACGCTATTTGACAAATTGGAACTAGACTCCTCCATACACTTTGATAGGGATCGGAGGCTGCTTGGCAAGTCAACCAAAGCACCCAAAGTCTAGATGTATCTGCTTATTAATGTTCTCATGTACTCTATACATTGGTGTCCTCATTGATTCCTGTGCAGAAGTATTCACCTCTTCCCTCAGCGAACTGGCAAACGAACCATGCTTTAGCTCTGTCTTGGCTCCTGGTCACTTGTATCTGATGTCTAACCACGTGCAAATCAAATAACATAGTCTCCTCCTGTTTTGCTGCTACATTTTCCTGTTTCTGAGGTGACGGTTGGGCAGGCAATACTTTTGGGTGTCTGAAAAGCAGGAACTCAGAAGAGATGAGGGAGGTCGAGGTGGCTGGGAAGCAAGAGTCCCATTGGAACAGCATTTGAAAATTCAACATGCCAGTGACCAGGATGAGGCCATGTTGATATTTAAGGGGTGTAAGTCTAGATCATGACATCTTTAAACTTTCAACCTTGCTATAATCCATGGTCTTTTTGCAGCTGGTCTCATGATGGAGACAACCATTTCCTCCAGAGGGCTCACCATATGGAGGTGCCTTAGTCATTCTTCACCTCCTAATTCCTCTTTCTCTGCCTATGTCCTTTTCTGTTGTGTACCACCTTGTCCTGAAGAAAGGAGCCAGAATTTTGAGTGATGGTCCAGCACATTTTTGTGCACTGTGCCAACTACAGCTAAATAGCTGGACGTAAGTGGAGGCAGTGAGAGGAGGGTGAGGCTGGCAGCATTGGTAGGTATGAGGATGAAGAAGTGGAGCATTTGGACTCTAGGTGCAAATCGTATGTGCCAGGGAGTACTGCAGGGTGAGTGATGGACTGAGTAGCACAAAAATCTGGTGAAATAATGGATTGGAGATGTCACATGAAAATACATTCACTGTCCTTGATCGTTCACACATGATCCGTAGACTTCTTGTGGGAATGACTTCCCTGTTCCCACTCCTCTTCAGGGAGTGGTCCCCAAGAGCCCCTTGGCTACCTACCACAAAGCTGAGACACCTTTCTTCCTTTCTGTCTAAAATACAAAGCCACATCTGTCACACTGGAACCCTTTTTTTGTCTGCCCTGGTGTTCAGTTTGAAATAATTTGTATTACAGCAATATTTTTCTGTAGCTTTCCTTTAAAAAGGTACAACACACCTCTGAGAGAACAACCAGCTGTGTCATGCAATTGGCAATAATCCTCCCACTGAATGCAACCTGTTATGCTGTTCAATGGACCAGGGGCTCTTGTTGTGTGCAGAGGCCGCAGGGAGCTTGGAGGATGGAGAAGATGTGCTGTAACTGCTCAGGCTGAACTTATAACTGTGCAGATAATAATATGGTTCCCACCATGATCTGCAAGAGCATAGGCCAGTCACAATAATGAACTCTGGGCCCCAAAACCATGGCAATCTAATCTTTAGCCCAGTGGAGAAATTCAAAAAAATGCACCCAAGTGAAGTGAAAAACTTTTAAAAGATGAACTCGATTTCATTGTTTGAACTTTAAAAGCTTAACTAGCTGGAGTCACTGTATCAGTGGAGTGTGATGTGTGCAATAATGATCAGAGTGTCTAAATTCTATTCAATTGCACATTTCACACAAATCAACTTTGTTTTGAGTATAGAAAGACAACAGCTTCTGGAAAATTTGATTAGATAGAGCAGAAAGAAACAGAACTAGCTGAGAAAAATTCATCACATGCTGATTAAATAGAACAAATGTAATTGGAAGAATTAAACTTAGAAAAAAAAACCTAGTCATACAAACGCTTACAGCTCTCACTGGCAAACAAACATGTCCTTTACTAACTTCACCTTCCAGTAACTATCAAGATGTAAACAGGATGTAAAATGAGAATTGAAAGATAGTTCCAAACCTTTCTGACATGCATTCATTGGTGGGAGTTTTTGCCAAACATTTGCTAGTTGAAAATCTAATGGTGGGTATTGAATCCTGGAATTAGACACAAATAAAATAAGTTGGATTCTCTCCTCACTGCCGTACTGTGGACCTGCAACTAGTTCTTACATTGTAATGTCAGAATGTACTTGGAAGAACTACCCCTATCCAGTAAAGCACTATTTCACTTTTGCCCACCCCTGATAGCCGTTGATCAGCTAGTCATTCCAAAATCTGTTTGCCTCTTCCTTCAGAAGAGCTCATGAGATTCAAAACATGAATGTGACACAATGTCAAAATTAGTGCCAGACTGACTGTCTACTTTTCTTGCCTGAAAATGATACCCAGAGTTTGTGGGTGGGTTGAGCAACTGGTATTAGTGGAGCAGACAAGGATGAAAATGGCACAAAGAGGTCTGACAGTTTCTACAAACCCTAGTTTGCAAATATAAACGAGACCTCTGTCCATTCCTGGCAAATGCTCTGGCTGCCTAATTGGAGGTCCTGTGAAAGTTGGGATTAGCAAAGCTGTAGTGACAAGTTGGATGCCCCACCTGTTTCTGTTAACACCAAGACCAAGGCAGTTGAGATAAAAATCAGACTGTGTTTTAAAAAAAAATACCACTCCTGCTATCCAGTGCCTGAGATGCACAAATAGAGTGGAGCGATCCATAGGAAGTGAAAGTGGGTTTAATGTTGCAGTCTTCAGAAAAAAAAAGGAGGTTTTATCCTGTGTAATCACTCCCATACTTAAAGCATACAGACAAGAATCTAATCCTAATTCTAACAATCACTACTTGTACAGAATTTACTCCAGTTTATGAAGCAAAGCTGGGTGGAACAGTGAACTGTGAGGAGGATCCAGAGATTCTTCTGTGATATTTACACAAATTGAGTGGGTGAGCAAATGCAGTATAATCTGTATATACACATGAGGTTATCCACTTTGGTAGCAAAAACAGAAAGGTGGATTCTCTGAATGGTGATCGATTTGGAAAGGGGTATAAGTGTAACAAGACCTGGGTGTTCTTGTACCAAATGTAAGCATACAGCTGCAACAAACAATGAAGAAGGCAAGTGGTAAATTGGCTTTCCTAGCGTACAGTGTGGAAGCAGGCCATTCAGCCCAGGTCTACACTGACACTCAGAAGAGCATCCCAGACTCACCCCCTTACCCTATCCTTGCAACCCTGCAATCCCATGGCTAATTCACCTAACCCACACTTCTCTGGAAACTATGGGCAATTTAGCATGGACAATCCACCTGACCTACACATTTTTGGACTGTGGGAGGGAACTATAGCACTCAGGAAAGCTATGCAGACACAGGGAGAATGTGCAAACTCCACACAGACAGTTGCCTGAGGCTGGAATTGAACCCGGGTCCGTGGTATTGTGAGGCAGCAGCGCTAACCACTGAGTCACCGTGCCACCCAGCAAGAAGATTCAAGTACAGGAGGAGGGATTTCTAGCTGCAGTTGTACAGGGCCTTGGTGAGAGCGCACCTGAAGTATTATTTTTGGTTTCCTTATCTGAAGATGTGTGGGTTTCCTCCGAGGGCTCCAGCTTCCTCCCACAGTCCAAAGATGTGGAGGTTAGGTGGATTGGCCATGCTAAATTGCTCATAGTGTCCTTTGATGTGTAGGTGATTGGATTACCCATGGGAAATGCAGGGTTACAGGGACAGATTGGTAGGTGGTGGGTCTGGTTGGATGCTCTTCGGCGGGTCAGTGTGGAATTGATGGGCCGAATGGCCTGTTTCCACACTGTAGGTATTCTATGATTCCATGGATTCTATGATCTGGTTGTGCAAAGATTTACCAGACTGATTCTTTAGGTGATAGGACTGATGTATAAAGAGAGATTTTATTGGTTAGGATCCTATTCAAACAAGTTAAGAAGAATGAGGCGGTAGGGGGTGGGGAATGGAATCTCATAGAAACCAGTAAAATTCTAACAGGACTAGGCAAGGTAAACACAAAAGATGTTCCTGATGACCAGGGAGTCCAGAACTGGGGTCAAAGTTGAAGCCAATTAGGAGTGAAATCTCCTCACCCAAAGAATGGTGAGCCTGTGGAATCCTCTGCCACAAAGTGGTCAAGGCCAAAACATTGTAACTCACTCCTTCTTGAAAACATTCAATCTCACTAAAGGGATCAAAGGGTATAGAGAGAAAACAGGAACAACATACTGTACTGGATGATCAGCTGTGATCATATTGAACGGCAGTACAAGCTCAAAGCGCTGAATGGCCAATCCTGCTCCTGTTTTCTATGTTTCTATGCTTACCTGCACAGGCAATCCTTCTTTCAGTGTCTGTGGTTCACATTCTTCACTTTCCTCTGCCTGCTGAACTGCAGAGGCTGCTGGGATTGTTGGACTTTTTGAACCATCGTTGTTGGAAGGTGACTTCTGGGGCTGTAAATTACATTAAATAAAAAGTTGTATGCTATGTAATCCTTTAAGCTCACTATTATTCTATACAATTATGGCTGAACTCTGACTCCAACTTCCCATCCAATCCTGGTGCCTCTTGATTTCTTAAGGTCAGACAGATCAGTTTTGGGTTTGAATTTGACCAATGACTGACCAACCAAGACAGAGTTTCAAAAAATTCATTACTACTTAACTGAAAAAAGGTTTCTCCTCATCCCTATCCTAACAAACAAGTACCTAATCCGAGACCAGGATCTCTAGTTCCAGACTCCTCAGGTGACAGCAGGTTTAAAAGTCAGGTTCACATAGCTTTCATCTAAAGAAAAACATTGCAGCAAGCATGCACACTTCCTATAAAGTGATACGTTAATATCAACATCCATGTGTATCAAAGATTGCAAGCAGACGTCATTCTAAATTTCTAATAAATTGATTCAATACACTTTCTATTAACAAACGTCATGGTGGAAAAATATTTGCATTGATTTATCACTAGGAAGTTCCATCACACCGAGGTGCCTCAAATGTCACACTTCGCGAGAATCTCTTTTGTATCCAATGAGTTAAATAAATGAATATAAATCACACCATCCTTATGGTAATCATGACCAGCAATCAAAGTGGTCAAAGAAAGTTATAAAATACATCACATTTTTTCCTTCATAGGCAGGCACTTGTAGGAAAAATCTAAACTAATAGCTGAATTACTCAAAGTTACTACTGTGCACTGGATATTTCATTACAGTTATGATTTACAAGGAGTAACACAATGATACAAACATTATGTTGTATTATGTATCATTTTGTAAAAAGTGAATGCGTAGTTAAATTAAAAGGAAACACATTCAAAATAACTGAAACTTTATAGAAAAGGCTATACTTCTTTCCTTCAGCCAGGGTTTCCCAAAGACTGATTTCTATTTTCACAAAAAACTGTAACAGGCAAAACAAACTAGAACAATCAAATTGAACAATTTCCAGATTGATAAATGCTGTTTAACTTGAAGGTAATGTCTACTTTCTGTCTTTCCCTGAAGACAGGACCATTCCAAATGTTACGTGTTTCAGCTCACTCCTGAGCATATTGGTTCCACAAGGTGGACAATTGTTAAACTAATCCTGGCTATCAGAATAAATGTTTTACTTGCAAGGCTAATTTATTTCACATACCATTTGTGAAAGGATATGGAGCAATTACACTTTGAAGCCATAGAACACACCATTCTACATTGGAGATTTCCCTCTTTTATGTTTATAAAACAGCAGTCACAATATTCATTTATGTACATGTAACAGTAAAATAATTCAGTAAAACAAAATCAAATGAAGTGAGCCACATAAAGACTTGAGTTTTAAAGCCTATTTTAAAGGAAGAGAATAGTAGCAAGGCGGGAAAGTTTAAGAAGGGAATTCCACAGCTGAGTTTAAGCATCTGAACACACAGCCCTAAAGATGGAAATTAGGAATGTGCAAAAAAAAAACGGACCAGAACTGGAAGATAACAAACTTCCCTCTGGAGTCATAAGAACACATAACTTAATGTAACTTAGGATATGAACAGCAAAACCTCTTTAATTTATGGTTAGAGATTTATAATCTAAGTTATTGTGCATAATACAACAAAACATTAAGTAATGTATCTTGAATCTAACATGTATCTGCCAATCTACTTAAATAAAAAGAAATCTGCTGTTGCTTTTTAATCACTCCCCAGGGCAAGAACCAATAATTCACAAACTGCTGTCACACTCAACAATTATCCCATAATTGGTTTTATTGTTTTCTTATTTAGGCCAATTTCCTATATAGAGTAGACGAATGATAAAGGAACAGATCAGCTAAATATAGCTTCCATCTTTGAATGAACCACAGTGGTCCTCTAGACCACCAGTGAGCAATGTGACAGCTGATGTAAATCTACCTTCATCATAATATGGGGCACCTGTGTTGGGAATCAAAAAACCTTACCCTTATTAATGCTACCTCTTACAATGCACAATCATGTTGTCAGCTCATTTTTCTTTTTTAGATGAAGCTTTAAAAGTGTTATGTGACTGTTACTGAAGGGCAACTAATTGAATGATGATATAATAAAAGGATTTAAAATATTTGGATGGAATTCTTTTAATGGAGTGATATTGTCCAGGTGCTAACAGCAACCAACCTAAGTCTGCCTTCCCCATTCCCCCCACCCCCCTTTTTAAAAGCCGTTTGAATCCATAAAAGATCCCAGGTATTAAAATCAAATGGTAGAAATTAAACATTGATAGTTCATTTTTCTCATATCATAACAATATGCACTGAAGTGCCTCTACAATCTTTGTATTGGTGGTCAGATTACAAGTAAAGTAAGATAAGTGGTATATTAACTTATAATTTGTTATCATTCTTTTTCAAATAGCGAGTAAGTTCAAAGATGGAAAGCATCAGAGCATTGTAAAAGCATGAGAAAGGGTGAGATTGAAAAAGGAATGGGAAAGAAGAATTCAGTAGTGAGTTACTTCAGCACACCCAACGTCTGCTCATCTCACCCTTCACCATTCCAGCACTGGGTCTGGAACACCTTTCTTTTCTCCTTTTCCCTTCCAACTATTTCAGACTCAAAAAATCCCCTAAATATCATAATCAAAGACCCCCCCCACCTCAGTTATACTCTCTTCTACCATCTTCTGCCAGGCAACTGATATAAAGTTTCTATACATGTACAAATAGATTCAAGAACAACTTCTTCCCTGCTGTTATTAGACTTCTGAACGGAGCTCTCAAATTTTAAATTCAATGTTGCTCTCTGTACACTTTCTCTGCAGCCGTAACATTGTATTCTTCATGCTGTTCTATTATTCAAATGCACTTTGCATGGTATGATCTGCTTGCACTGCACGCAAAACAAAACTTTTCACTGTACCTGGGTGTATGTGGCAATAATAAATCAAATCAAATTAGAGGTCCCTCTGGGTAAAGGAACAATTTACTCGTACTTCTTCCAATTTATGATATTGAATTCATTGCTCAGGGTTTAGGGAAACAACCACAGATTGGGCAATTGTTTTCTTTTTGAACATAAGGTTAGGGCACTTTATCCTTTAATCCTGCTTGACCAGGTAATTGGGGTTTTGCTGATCACGTTGATCAACTCCATCTTCTAGTCTGTACCCCTAATCTCTCGATTATCAAAAATCTATCTAACTCCATCTCCACCAGCTGCTATAGATGAGTATTCTACTCTCTAATGACCGTCTGTGGAAAAAAAATACTTTCTCCTCATCTATGTCCTACCATTCATGGGATGTTGACATTGCTGGCTGGACCAGCATTTATTGTTCATCCCTAACTGCTGCTGAGCAGGTGGTGGTGAGCTGCCATTTTGAACCATTGCAGTCCACGTGCAGTAGGTAAGCCCGCAATGCTGTTAGGGAGGCAGTTCCAGGATTTGGACCCAGCAAGGCTGAAGGAATGGCAATATATTTCCATGGGAAGATTGAGTGTGTCTTAGAAGGGAACTTGATGGTGTTGGTCTTACCCTATATGAGCTGCCCTTGTCCTTCCAGATGAAAATGGTCATGAGTTTGGAAGATGCTGTCTACAGAGCCTCAGTGATTTCCTGCTGTGCCACCTCGTAGATGCTACATGTTGCTGCTATTGAGAATTCGTCATGGGTTTAGTAGATGCTAGTGGATGTGATGCCAATCAAGTGGGCTGCTTTGGCCTGGATGGTGTCAAACTTCTTGAGTGTTGTTGGAGCTGCATTCATGTAGGCAAGTGGGTAGTATTCCGCCACATTCTAGATTTATGCCTTGTAGATGGTGAACAGGCTTTGGAGCGAGAGGATGTGAGTTACTCATTGCAGGATTCACAGCCTCTGACCTGTTTTTATAGCCATATTATTTATATAACCGGTCCGGTTCATTTCCTGGTCAATGACAAGCTCTAAGATGTTGATAGTCAGAGAATCAGTGACGGTAATGTGACTGAATGTCAAGGGATCTGATTAAATTCTCTTTTGTTGGAGGTGGTCAATGCCTGGCATGTCTGTGGTACAAACGTTACTTGTAAATTTTCAGCGCAACTTGATATTGTCCAGGTCTTGCTGGATGTGGACTTGTGTTGCTTCAGTATCTGAGGTGTCATGAATGGTGCTGAATGTTGGTGCATTTACTGGCAAACATCCCCATTTATGATATAATGATGAAATAAAGATCATTAAGCAATCAGCTGAAGATGTTTGGGCTGAGGACACTACCGTGAGGAACTCCTGCAGAGATGTCCTGGAGCTGAGATGAATGACCTCCAATAACAACAACCATCTTCCCATGTGCCAGATATGGCTCCAATCAGCAGAGAGTTTGTCAACTGATACTCATTGATTCAGTTTTGCTAGGGCTCCTTGATGCCACGCTCAGTTGAATGAGAGATAGTAGGAACTGTCGATGCTGGAGAATCTGAGACAACAAGTCACAGAGCTGGATGAACACAGCAGGCCAAGCAGCCTCAGAGGAGCAGGAAAGCTGACGTAGAACCCAAGCTGGGCATCACTGAACTGGTTATTGCTGAGCAGGTGCTGCTTGATAGTGCTGTTGATAATTCCTTCCATCACTTTATTGATGATAGAGAGTAGACTGATTGGGTGGTAATTGGCCAGTTCGGATTTGTCCTGGTTTTTATGTACAGGATATTCCTGGGCAATTTTCCACATTGTTAGGTAGATGCCAGTGTTGTAACTGTACTGAAACAGCTTGGCTAGGGGTGCAGCAAGTTTGGGAGCACAAGTCTTCAGTACTACTGCCAGAATGTTGCCAGGGCCTGTAGCCTTTGCAGTATCCAGTGTCTCCAACTGTTTACTGTATCACATGGAATGAATCGATTTGGATGAAGACTGGCACCTGTGATGCTTGAGATGTCTGGAGGAGGCCGAGATGGATCATCCACTTAGCACTCTGGTGGAAGTTTGTTGTGAATGCTTCCATCTTTTCTTTTACACTGATGTGCTGGGAACACCCATTATTGAGGATGGGGTATTTGTGGGGTCTCCTCATCCAGTGAGTTGTTTAATTGTCCACTACCATTCACGACTGGATGTGATAGGACTGCAGAGCTTAGGTTGTGGATCCTTTGGTTGTGGAAATGTTTAGTTCTATCTATCACTTGCTGCATATGCTGTTCGGCACTCAGGCAGTCCTGTTTGCTTGCTTTGCCAGGTTGACGCCTCATTTTCAGGTATATCTGGTGCTGCTCCTGGCATACCCTTCTGCACTTTCCATTGAACTGAGGTGATCCCCTTGCTTGATGGTCATGGTGTTCAAAAGGACTCTGCTTTGGTTACTCCTACCAGTACTGCCATAGACGGATCTGCATCTTCAGCAGGCAGATTAATGAGGATGAGGTTGAGTATGCTTTTGATTTCCATCATCTGATTTTTAAGACCTGGGACTTTTCATGGGCCAAATAATTTTTAAGAGGAAATGCACTGACCTAAGATGGCCGCAATGTTACTTGATCATAAGTTAATGGAGCTCATTAAACCATAAATGAAGAAAAATCAGGCTGAGTTAAAATTAACCGAACTATATAACTTTATAACATAGATTGTATCAATAGTATGAATGAACGATTATTTATTCATATATGTATTCAGTATTTTAACCCAATAAATTAGCTACATATTGAAGTGCGTGTGTCTTCTTGTAATCATTTTGGTCAAACCTTAAAGAACCATTAGGTACCTTCAGCCTAACATTACAGGCCGCCATTGAATTGCTTTATTAAAACAGCGTTGCCTAGATGTTAACACAGAAAACTAATGATCACATATCTTATTAAGTCTTCAGTGCACTGTAGGAGCTCTGCCCAATAAGGCAGCTGTCATTAGATTGAAGAAGTGGCAAAATCAACCTTTCCTTATCCAGTGATGCTGCAACATTAGTTATCGATGGTCTCAGAAGTGTGAGCAGAAAATGATACTGAATCAATTTAAAATCGTCCACTTATGGCATCACATCAGCCCTACACAAATTTATGGCTGGCTTTATTTTAGCTTATGAATGTGAATTTATTTTTCAAATTAAGAAAGTTATACTAAAATTGAATATTTTTAATCATGCAATATTTGGGACTTGTGATATGTCATCAAGCTTTCTTCTCTTTAATTAATTTTTGATTAGACTTAGGGTTGAACATAAGAGAAACTTTATCATTAAATGATATGGCTATATCTGTTCACTCATACTCACAATTTCTGATGCTGACTTTTTAAAATCGTCAACCAGGTGCTTTATTGCACTCATGTATGAATCACATTCTGCAGGTGTTTGTCCCAGATGTTTGACACCAATCTATAAAATAGCATTGAGTAAAAGCATTTAATCCCATACATTATACACTCATATTAATAGGAATAGGAATATTCAGAGCTTTTATATTAACTAAATATGATTATTACAAATAGAAGGCAATGTTGATTTCAGTTTTAGGTCTGCCAATTACTCCTCAAATATAGTGAAGTCAGTGCCAGTTCAGTGACATGGTCCAATAGCCTAATGCAGT